GGATGGCAGAACCGGAGGCAAAACGCACAAGTACAAGTCCTACAGATTTAGCAAGCTGCTGCTTTCTATTCAGTTTTTTTAAACAGGCGAAACGAACCGTTAATAAATCAATGGAAATTTTTTTATTTTTTGTGGGTTACATTTTTTAAGGCATGCTGCATGAATGCTTCTACATCTACTAAAGGTAGCAGACATATAAGTAACGAATTTTTCCTTGCCTTGGGACGCATTTTTCTTTTAACAAATGCAAATCTGCGCTGTGTATTAACGAGGGGCTTCACATGCATTAAGGGTGCCCCCTCAGGAAATAACTTTTTTATCTTACATGCGATTTCGATGGCACTTACAGTGACTAATGCTTGCTGTCCAGTGACCTTATGCTGAAAATTCGAGATGGAAACATTGAAGTGCTGGTGAGTTATTGGTAGTGGCGGCGCCAGGGGAGGGCTAGCGTTGGCTGAGCCTAACACTCAAAGATTTGAAAACAGAGTACTCACTAGCAATAATCACGTAAAAATTCTGAACGGATGTTTGAAAAATTATGGGCTGAGCCCAGGAAAAATCCTGGCGCCGCCACTAGTTATTGGGTGACAAAGAGCAAAATGGGGCTCTCAGCAAAAGCATAGAGGCTTTTTTGTTGGAATGTGCGGAAAGCTGCGAATGGTCTCAAATGAAATTAGACACCTAAATCTAAGATTTGATTCGCGGAGATTTTTGAATTTCGCTTCCGTTTATTCCCTTCACGTATTTTAAGTCAGAGCTCTGAAAATAAACCTTATTCGGCGGAGTATTTGCCACTTATCTCTCCACAGAAAACAAAAAATCAAAAGTCGCAGCGGTGAATATATATTAGATAAATGTCTTAGCTTTAAAATAAAAAAAAATGAAGGTTTAACGATGAATGGTCGAAGAGTTAATACAATATTACATCGCTAAAACCATGTTCTAAGCAATGCCGTCATCAGTTCATTAGTTATAGTTCAGAGTCTTTAGCAAAACTTTTAATTAAAATGTGAAATTTAGAAAAACATGACTTTTAAGGCGTTCAAAAATCTTTCTCAAAAACCTCCAAAAACATTAAATTTTTGGCAAACTAAGATGGAGTCTGAAAGATGACACTTTGGGATACTGAACAGCATGGTTACTTCAGTTTCTAATAAAACAGCTAATTCCCGAGGAGGGACCCCTTTAACAGTTTCAAACGTATTAGAATGAATCCTGTGTTTTAACGCAGTGGAGGCGTTCTAATTTCGCTTTCTCCCTGCTTTTCTGGGACAATGTGTTGTATGATATGGTACTGATTATGATTGACATCTACTTCTCTTGTTTTCTATTTGAGTTCATACAGCTAATTCGAAAATACAAATCAGCGGGATCGAAAGAAAGACATGCACTGAAATACAATGCAGCTGTGCGGTTTCTTCTGAACTAGCACAGGCATGTTCACGCGACACTTTTTAACCTCGTTTAATTCTAGTCTTTGGCTATTAAGTCGAGTTGAAAGGTCACACTGTTCAACGCTCCTCAGAATCGAATACTGAAGAGCAGGTTTGTGAAAAAATTCGGGTAGTGACCCTCAAATGCATATGTTTGATCCACTTGGTGTAAGCGTAGAGGTTATATAGATATATGACATTTGCAGATGATATGACTGGCAGCTGATTGATAATCGTTAATAATGAAATGCTCTAGAAACTCTGTTAACTGAGTCGAGAACTGTCAGACTGAATTCTTAACCCTTTGGCTACCACCCTAGTGAATGTACTTGATTACTTGGGAACTACATGGCAAGTAGTTGAACAAGAACTTGTCAAGCATCGTTACTTGACTTGCTTCAGACAAGTCAGTCATCCTTTTCTTTTGCGTTAACCACCGGTATATAAACACCACAATATCAATCGTTATAAACTTATAAAATAAACTTATATATTTCTACTCAGTTGAACAAACTTAGTAGCCGTGCATGTATTTGCCCTATAAAAGTAGAGTATAGCTCCAGAATATGTGTAAAATACAAAATAAAAATAAATGGAATAAGTGCTTGACTGAACTTTTTCTAATAAATTTATTTGCACTGTGTCAGCCCAGTACTTACATTTTACTTGGCAAGTACTTTCTCAAGTACTTGACAAGTAAATTTACTTGGAAAAGTCTACAAGTACTGTCCTCATTACTTAACCCAAGTACATTCACTTGGGTGGTGTCCTATATATAGGACGGCGGTCTTTACTTTGCTTACCGGTGATCTATTAAAATCATGCCTTGAAAATTTCAGATTTTGCGAAAAATTTGATTTTTTTCTACTTTTTACCATTAGTCAAGCGATTAACCTAAGTTAACAAACTGAGTGCGTTCGCACGTAAATTATTTCAATTAATTCCATGTTTTCAGCAATGAACAAACTCTTTTCGTGAAATAACAATGGAACCCAACTTGTTTAAATCGCTCATCCACATGTATGTTGTAGTTCTAAGGCTATCTGACAGATGCTTCAGATTTTTTGAAAAAAGTGCAGAGTCCGATATCAATTATTTTAATCTTTTTCAAACTATAATCAACCCTGTGAAGTACGATTTTATTCTACTAGAAACAAACACACTTCTCGACAAACTTATTACTTAGATATAAGATACAGCAGTTCTTTACTGTATTCTATCGTATCGCCATGGAAACTACATACTAAACACCTTCCTAGTTCTTCTGAGAAAAAGCATAAATTTAAGAAGGCGATGAGGACGGAAGGAACTACTCTTCGTCATTACATAATTTTGAATTTCTTTTTTCACAAGCAAAATGAATGTAAAATTAATAAAGGAACGTTGCAGCAAAAAACACTTTTTATCCTATAATCCATTTTCAGATCATGAATGCCTTTGCTTCTGATTTTGCTTGTATTGTGATCATAGATAGTGGTGTCTCTTGTAGTCGCCTGAAATTTGTGTGTGAAGTGTAGCTGAATCATCTTTAACAATTTGAATTAGAATTCTTCAGAGAGCCACTTTTTTACAGATGCAACGTCGTTTGCAAAAAACTTTCACCAGCTTTAATTAAATAAGATGACATAGCTTGACTATGAACATGATTCTGATAATTTTTAGATTATATTGAGCGGTAAGAATGGCGAATAATTCTATTAAAAACGGACGGTTATTGACATGTTAAATGACGACACTGCCATGGTGGCTAAGCGACAGAAACAAAGTGTGAACGAAATTAACAATATTGATGCCGATATACAATCTTTAACAGCAACAATTGTGAATGAAACGCTAACGTTATTTGTGCAATTGTTAAATAAACAGATTCGTCGAACAATTTTCGATGTATACAGATCGACCCTTATTGTTAAATGTCCTGCATTAAATATTCAAGATGTTACGCCTGAACTGCATTATAATGACCCTTATGTATTGCGAAAAATATATTTTCTCGTTTTGTATTTTGTGATTAACAAGCATTATCTATATTCTCCATCGAATAGTAGAGAAGCAAATAGCAATCTGGGCAAAATGTTAAATTTAATTGTGATGCACGATGTTTTGTTCAATTTGAGAAACTTGATCAATCGGCTCTTCATTCTTCATCATACTTTTCGTTACTCGCCACATTTACGCCTATCATTCTATCTCACAAGCAAATTACGACTCAAGATATTTGTTTATATGGTACTATAGTCAATGACAGCTCATCAATGATAACATTACATGTTTATCAGTCTTCAACGTTGAGTTTAATTATTCAATTATTGAAAAATATATTGAATATCCCATTTGTAAAAAGAATATATTTGGACCTGATTAACGACGAAGCTAGATCTGATAAACAAATCAACATGCCTGAATTAGATGGTAAGACAGAATTTTGTTGTGATTTGTGTTTTGTTTAATCCAGAAGAAAACTATGGAGTCATTTTGTGGATGAAATGTATATCTAGGAGCATCCTTTAATTATATCTTAAATTCTGTCTAATCAATATATACTTTTGGCTTAATCGATGGTTTTCTCTTTAGAAATAATCGATAATATAATCAATGAAATTTTTGTCAAACGTGGCATTTCGTTCGCTAATTTATCGATGTGTTTTTCTGGTGTAACATGTTTTAATCGAACGGTGATATTGAATAAGAATGTGGTAATTCCAGCACTCTTAATGAACGAACAAACTCTCGAAGATAATGCTGTAATGAATGCATCTATTATTCTTATTATTATCCATGAATTTTTCCACATTCTTCGACGAACAACTATTCCGAGAGCGTTTGATTTATTTTGCGATCGAACACCAAAGAGACCAATATTGTCCAGAAACAATGAACTAGCTACAGAGGGCGGGACACAAGTTGAAGATAGACTATTTGGAGTCGTTTGTGGATCAATGGGTTTCATATGCGCTCTATTTTTACTTGATATTCGGAACTGGGATGAATCAACACATGAAAATTTCAAACTGTCATTTCAAACAGCAAAATTGCAGGATGAGCAAGCAGACCCGAAAAAACAAAATATTTGGTATTTGCCAGACAGAGCAAGTTATTGCACTCATGAAGAAAAGGATGATAACTGCGAAATAAAAATATTCTCACAATCACCGTCAAATTGTTGGAAATTAGGAATATGTGCAACACCATATCCCAGTAAATAATAACAAGATGAAGATGTATTACGTGACATTCTCTTTTGTAAATATCATTAACTAAACGATGAATTATTGTTAAAAATGCTCTGATCTATTTTATTTATCTTTTTTAATACTCAAATATGTTTTTTATACCTCACTTAGTGAGCTGATGGAAAAAATTTTGTTCGGACTGTGTTCATTTGTTGCGGTTTTTTGAAAATGATTAATGATTTCAATCCTACTAGAATCGAAAATATAGCTGTTTCATGCTGTTTGTGAATATCAAGTAAAAATAGAGTGTGCATGAAACCCATTGATCCACAAACGACCCCAAATAGTCTATCTTCAACTTGTGTACGGCCTTCTGCAGCTAGTTCATTGTTTCTGGACAAGATTGGCCACTTTAGTGTTCGATTGCAAAATAAATCAAACGCTGATTGAACATCTTAAGGCGAAAAAATAAAAAAACCTGATGACGTTTAAAACTCGAAAGAATGCCTACTTTTTAAAAGACTTGGTTTTCGGAACGCTGGATGTATTTCATAACTCTCAAACTAAATTTCTCTTCTTCAGTATATAAAAACAAGGCTAATAATCTTTATTTGAAATCAATCAAACATATTTTTACCGTTATAATCTTGATGGCAAAAAGAGAATTGAAAAGTCCAACTTTTCATTTTGTAAATCTATCTAGGTTTTGTTCTCTAAACACATAGTCCTCATTTATGTCTCATCATAACCGCTAATTTGCCAGCAATAAAAGTATCCATTACTTTTTTTGAAATTTTGTTTCGTTGATGAGATGTTTTAATTTTACTGAAATTTAGGTAATTTTGACAGAAATGAGCCGAGTGTTTTTCAATAAAATTCTTGACGAAAATACTCTAAATCGGATTTTATAAGAAAAAAGTGAGTGGAAAACTCAGTGAACAGACTTTCAAGATCTTCCCTGTTTTTCGCACGGACTTTCGAAAATCAGGTTTTCAAGGAAATGCTTTACCATGTACATTCCTAATTATGGTTTTAAATTTGGTGATAAGATTCCTAAATGGTGTGATTAACGTGAACATATTAGAAAAATAGTGCTGAGTACTATTCTCATGCAGAATGCGATTATAATGATGATAATGATGTGAATGTTCCTCAAAAACGAGATATCTACCACACAAATGATATGTTCCTCTTCTAAAATTATGATGTATCATGGAATAATTTAGGAGAAACTAAAACACATCATCGAATTGACATTGAAGTGAATAATGTAGTACTGAAACCTGGAGAAAACATTGAAAAACGTAACTGCATTATGTTTTGATTCGATGTTCTACTATTGGTTTTACAGCATAGTCCACACACTAATAGACCTCTTGACAAGAACGGGAAAATAGTTCCTTAACATTTGTCTTCGGTCTTTGTATGTGAAACATACTTGTGTGGCGTCATCATCATAGCTTTCCTTTCGTTTAATATTTTTCCCAATAGAAAAGTGCCATAAAAAATGGAACGCTTATTCACGGCTAAAATAAATCAATGGAAATATTTTTATTTTTTGTGGGTTACATTTTTTAAGGCATGCTGCATGAATGCTTCTACATCTACTAAAGGTAGCAGACATATAAGTAACAAATTTTTCCTTGCCTTGGGACGCCTTTGTCTTTTAACAAATGCAAATCTGCGCTGTGTATCAACGAAGGGCTTCACATGCATTAAGGGTGCCCCCTCAGAAAATAACTTTTTTATCTTACATCCGATAAACATATTTCCATTGATTTATTAACGGTTCGTTTCGCCTCTTTAAAAAAACTGAAAGCAGTAGCTTGCTAAATCTGTAGGACTTGTACTTGTGCGTTTTGCCTCCG